GGACCCTTTGACTGGCCGACTGATACTGTGTGCCTTATGAATGCTGGGATATTATGCACATTCCACGTCCTCATTTTTCATGATTACAGGACGGACTAACATTGGGTGAATCAAAGACGTGTTTTCAGTTTTATGAACTACAAATTCCTTTTTTGGTAATTTCATATCATGGATCTTACCTGCTGTAGCTGGTCGGTCGATACATTCTCGGTCACGAAGGGCATTGGGTTTAACCTCTGGGTTTTCCTTTAAGAGAACAATGCAGCAAGGTACATGTACATGTAGCTCAGCTCAATGAAATGTCTCTAACCATGCTAACTGTTAGAAGGCAATTTCTCACAAAGGCAGCCAATGCTGGCTGTAAGTTCACAGGGTTCTGAAAAAAGCTTTGCCAGAAAACAGTTTCACAGTAGAAAGTAGGTTTGCGGTAGCACCATGGACGTATCTCTTTTGTGAGTATTTGTGGTTCTGAAAAGAACCAGTGGTACTCAACGTTTTGAGCAGTATGCTCTGCTCGTCATCAGGAGAAACAGCTTCACATCGTTTTCCTCATCCTGATTCTAAACCATCTGGTTACTTGTCTGCTCAGAACCTGGGCACAAAAGTGGATTTGTCCACAAAAACTACTTACAATTTGGCCGGGCCCACACTCAGTCTTGCGAATACATTCATTACAGAAGTTGTTCACAGGCATGTACGTCCCAGGATCGCACGGAACACATCTTGAAAAAGAAACGAAACAAAAACCGTGTACACGCTAAGATAAGCATGTAATGTACATGTACTGTTACATGTATCTGACTGATTTTCACCATCACAGATTTGGTATGGGAATAGACCGTATTCGCGGCATCCCCAATTTCAGTCGTATTCCCCAACGTAGTGTATTGATTTGAAAATGTTAAATTCCAAGAACGTGACAATATTGTAAGATTTCATTCCGACCCCCAAAAACACCTGGTACCACCCCATTACGGGTACCAAATTGTTACTGTATGTTCAGGAATACCACTGAAATTGGTGACGCTGTAAATACGATCTATTGGTGACAAGTTCTCATGCAGCACATCTCTAGGGCTCTACAATGTGTATTTGGTCAAGAATGTAAAGGGTACTTGAAATGTTCCATTACCCTGTTATCATGGAAGGCTGACTACATGTACCGTAGGTACAATGTATCGGAGCAGTTGCCAGTAACTCAGATGGTTACTACAAAAGACATTCCAACTTCCATCTCCAAGTGGGAAATGAAAAGAACTGCATTCGGAGTCTGCTATTAAAGAAAGTACTGTACACAAACATGCACTACCTCGGCTACAGACAACAACGCGTCGCACCAGCAGACCAACGCACTGACGCGGAAGCATCTTTTGATGGTGCATATTAACTCTAGGACAATGATCGCGTGGCCAAATCTTTCCTGTTCAAATGTTTTATCCCATTCCCCCCACCTCGACTTTTGAGAAATAGGGAGATACTGTATATGTGCATAGAAACCTACATTTCGTCCATGTCCACTTGACCATTACACTCAGGCTGGGCCACTTTCAGGCGTCTTCCTGGTATACACAGATTGACGTCTTGGGAGACGCAGCTGTAGTGAAACTGAAGTGGGTCTGCTGGATTGTCGCACTGTTCAAACCAGAATTAGCATAGGAATTAAACCCTGTCCAGTGTATGAATTTCGTGTATTATACCCCAACACAGTTCACCCATTCACTGGTCCGTGAACTGGGAGGATATTTGTACGGGACATGTAGGTGCATACACTTGAGGCACAAAGATGTGCCACTGACATGACTAGACGGGTACATGTGCATGTATTTCACAAAACACAAAGTAAAATTGATGAAAATAATCACTGAAAAAATAAGAATCACGGACTGATTTATCCCTCTTTCCCCATATTTATAAATGGGAAAAAAACCAGTGATGGGTTGGTGTTTTGTACTACATAATCATTCAAGGCAGACTCTGCCTTCGGCTCAGTTCATCATCATCACCAGGCTCCAGCCCTCTACAGTTTTAAATTTCCTCCATCACATTTTTTATCGTCTTATTAAAAAGTACAACAGGTCCAAACAGAATGTACAGTATTACACATGTGGTGTCCCATAGTATCCAAACCAAATCACCCATCATCTTAATAAGTGATTTTGAATGATCTAGGAGCATTTGGGTGTAGGTATTGAAGCTGTTTATGGTGATACAAGTACATGTATGTACAGTGCATGTATGTGTACATGTACATAGATGAGAGTGGAAATTACCCATGTATATTTGGCATGTTTGGGGGTCTTTAAATGCAGTTAATCTTCAAAGCACCAAATCCTAGTGAATTTATTAGGTGCTTGCTTGCAGAATAATGGATGTAATGCAAAATTGCTGAGTAACTAGGCAAGAAAACCTATGACATCTTGAAATCCTGATTTGGACCTCCAGTAGCAAACATGACGAAGCTACCGAGCACATGGCCAATAGTCAACATGTGAGCAAGGCATCCTAAGCAGATTCAGTTAGTTTGTCGAACAAATGCAGATACAGCGTCCAGAACTACTGACAAAACATGCACATGTAATTGCCTGGTCTGAATTGCTAAAAGACGTGCTTTCCAAGGAGGCTGTCTAAACCTGGTTAGCTGATATGGTAAGGTGGCACAAACATATCAACAAGTCAACAGCTCTTTACAGGATTTCTGCTTGAACTGATGACAAAGTTTTTACTAAACATCGACTCTTATTGGCTAACGCTTCAGGGCAGGACAAATAAAATTTGCATGTCCATGTACTGGGTATGAAATACATGTACCATTTCTGAGCCATGGGCTCCATTCAAAAGACTACTAAAACCTGACTGTATGAGTTTCTATTTGTCACTCTTCAGTTCATTCCAAAAAAAAACTTCAAACTTGTTTTTGCGAGTAAAGCTGCATTTTTCTCCACGTTTCACAGTATCAAAACTTGCAACCTGGAGCGACATCCAACATGGACATGAACATGTAAATGAATGCAAAGACACAAACCTACAGCCCTACATGTACATAACAAGTTCTTAAAATTAAAATAACTCTTAACTAACAGCTCATTAAAATAGTACATGAAGTCTTCTGGGTCAAATCAGTTTTGATACAAATCAAGGCTGGACCATTTCTGTTTGCAGGCAGGGTAAGGTTTGACTTGAGGCAAAGTAACTTAGAGACACACAACGAAGGATTAAGAAGGTTCAAAGCCATCCAAAGCAACGCCCCTTCTCCATGCAGTACATGTAGATAAGCAATTAGTTTTGTGTGCTCTGGCGCAAGTTAGAATCTCTCTCACATCCCTCATACCATTATTTTAAATGTTGCTGACCTGTTGTAGAATTCTGGGTCACACAAACGTGCATGCTGAAGTAATTATCTACGCTTTGCGGGGGCAAAAAGTCCCACTTACACATGTAGGTTTGACATGTTTTAGTATCGTGGATGGCTTACTCTCATTTACACGATGACAACTTACCTGCTCAGATGCAGTTGCATGTGCCAAAGTTACTACACCTGCCAGCATGGCCAGTGCCTTCAGGTTTGTCTTTGCCATCTTACTGGATGATGAGAAACCTGGTGTTGAACAGGACAATTTATTTTTGTCAAATGACAATATTTTGCAGGCATCTGCAGTACTTGTTTACACTTCCAGGAGCCGACAGACAAATAAATGGGATAGACTTGTGATACTAGAATCATGGGACTACGTTCACATCCATACTTTCTGCAAGATGCTACCAGTAAAATGGAATTATTCCTTCTCAAGTCAGAAGGCATTTGCAGGAAAACCGGGACTGAATTTACTGGCGGTGAGGCTCACTCAAAGTTAGTCAAAAACAGACAAAATATCACCAGATTTGTTCTACTATGAGTGACAGAAGAGCCCGCTGAGGCCTCAATATCAAACATGTAAGGGGATAGTCACTTACAGATTCTACTACATGTACATGTAAATGATTGCTGAAAAAGTTCATCCCCGTAGATGTTGACTCCATTTACCGGTATGTTACGAGGCACAAGCCAGTGACTGATTTGTCAAAAAAATTGACAATTTCTCCTAATACTGATAGGGCTGTGTGGAATATCACAATAGTTGATTGAGTCTGAAGTACTGAACTGACATGTGTTACAGAAAAGTTCAAGTTGTTACCTCTGAATAACAGAGAAATGGTCCAGGCTGACACCCATCCTCTGCTGGCAAATTGACCAAAACCAAGCTCGGCGATAACCATCAGGCCAACAGTGAGTGACATGATGGTGTACGGTATTAAGAAAGCACCTACCAATGTTGAATTGAAAGAGACCTTCTATGTTAGGAAAAAAGGGAGATTAAGTTTGTATATTGTTAATGTCAAAAACAGTACAAAATTAATCTTGTACATGTAAGTATCATCTCATGAGCAGTGGCTTACGTTTGTGCTGGGAACTACACAAGAATTGTGAAGGGGATAGCTTTATGGAAATTTGAAAAAGGGAGGGGGTGTTGACACCATTTGACACGGGGGGGGGCAATGCTCATCTCTGTACATTTTGCATTCCTGTGGAACGTTAGATCAAAACGGTGTATGATTTTAAACAATCATTCTCCATTTTTGAATCCTGTTGCAGACATTTTGGTTGTTGAGAAGTCAGAAAAGTTCTTAATGATCCACCTAAATTTTTCTCAACACAAAAAAGTGGGGAATGAGTCCCCAGTTAAAAAGTAAGGGGGGATTTATACCTATTGGGCCAGGATTTCCATTTATAGATGAGAGAAAAGAAGGATAATTTGTCGAAACAACGCTAAATACAAACATCGTTTAAGTTTTTTAATTACCTCTGCCACTGTTGTAACACAAGTAGGGGAAACGCCAGACATTACCGAGACCTACAGCATACCAAATGCAGGATAGGAGGAAGTCAACCTTGTTCCCCCAACCTTCCCCCTGTTCTGCATCATCTGGCGTATCTACTGATACTGGGTTGGAGCTCTGAGGAGGAGGTAGCGGCTTTGAGACAGACATCTTCTCCAACTCATCAAACTTGATCATCTTGACGACAGGACCTTTGATCTGGTGATGCAAGCAATTTTTTGTCCAAAGAAGCAATACATTCCTACAACTCATTGCTATGCATTGCTTAATGAGCTGTGGAAACCTTTAATCTATTAGAAGTCCACCTTACAATGATTTTAAAATGTTTTGAGTGATAGGTTGACCTTTATGTGATTGATCAATTTTACTGCATGATTTTTTCAATAATTCCGCCAACAACCAATTGTCTTTTATTTCTACATGTACTTTCGTGTTGTGTTGTGAAAGATTGTTTAAAAAAGGAGAAGTAAAGTTGAAAATGTTATCCAGAATCAACCAATTGCGCAGAGCAATCAGGTGAACTGTAAATTAGAAAGAAAAGGCGATTGGCTACTGCTAGAATTATCAGCTACATAATTAAGCAGAAAGATTGACACATCACACAAACATTAAGCAATCACACAAATCAACTGATACGGCCCAAAATGTGTCTAGCTGCTGTACAAACCTAACAGCTTCCTTGCTTCTTTATGGGTCTTGGGCATGACCAACTATCAAAAGCAAAACATGTACTTGTGACTAAGAAACTTGACAGGTACAATGGCAAAAACGCAAGAAAAAATCAACCTGAAATTAATGCAGAGAAGAATCAGTTTTGCTGACAGAGGAAATTTGATTTAATAGCTTTCTTACACCAGTGAATCATTTCATCACAAAAATCTGATTCCAAAACCCTATAGCAGGGAGTCCAGCGAAACGGCACCTCTAAATTTTATATCTGAAAGCATGTACATGAGAAAGTGTTGTTTTCAATAAATGATTTCTGCCTTTTTTTGTGCATCAAATTCTATGTTTTAAAAAGCGAAGAACAGAAATTTGTGTCTGTTTACATTGAGTTTTGGGTGTAAAGTATGATAAAAATAATGTAAGATCGGAGCCACTCACACTCCGTCAACAACTGTGTGCGGCCATCTTTGTTCATTGTCATGGGGCATAGTCTCGTCTAAGCCTAATAATATCTCGTGAGATTCAACTGGGTTTAGAACGATGATGTCATCATCTTGGAGAGCTTAAAATACTCTTTCATTTGATGTATGACTCAAGGCATTTGACTAAAAAGCACTGTCAAGCCTTACTTTTGTTTGTGAAGACTATAAAAGGTAACAAAAAATGTGCATTTTTCTGTTGAAAATCCCCCCAAAAACATGTATTTTAAGGAATTGATGAAAAATATATATGAAACAGTGTTTTTTGGGAAGCTTGAAATTTCAGGAAGAAAAGGAAGTTGTTGTTTTGTCAAAATTGATGTCGAACTGATGCTGAACAACCCTTTTGTATTGGCATGATGTCGCGCAACTGAGCACATGTACAACAGATTGATGCATGGTGCACCAAGATGCAAATAAGAAGAGCATAAACCACATGTTGTTTCAATCAAATGTTAGCAAAAGACCCTGTCAAACACGAACAGATTTAAAGTAACTTATGATACCTGACAGAATTGGTCCCCAATTTTTAAAGCTATTTATTGATGATGCTTAAGTGATCTTTCACAAATCACTAAAAATTTCAAGCCCAACTCAACTGTCCTGCTACTGTATACATGAACATGTATCCTATCCTATGTTCATTATTGAGAAAGTTTTCCATAATAAAAGATATTGTTTACTCTACACTTCTTCTGTGACTTAACTACAGATCTTAGTCCAACTCTGGCATCTGGAAGTGGAACCGATGAGGAACAAGACTCCATGTGATTCAAATACATTGATGAAAATAAAACTTGTGTCTACTCTCAAAAAGAAATGCTGGTCAAGTCCTCCTCGAGTCATGTCGTCCCCGGGTCAAGTCGTCCCTGGATCAAATCATCCCTAGGTCAAGTCATCCCCGGGTCAGTCGTGCCTGAGCCTCAACTCATCCCCAAGTCAACTCGTCTCCTAGTCAAGTCATCTCCCATATAAATAATTACATTATATTTATAATTTTACCGCAGTAATTTATTTTTTTTTTGGGGGGGAGAAATTTATCTTCTTTTTACTTATCAACTTTTTTTTACTGGGGTAAATGGGCGGGGGGTAATTTAATTTATTTTTTCTTTTCAAGTTTTCACTGGGGTAATTTATTTTTTCTTATTCTTTTATTAGGATATTTTTCTTATTTAAGTTATTTATCTTCTTTAATAATAATCATATGTTAATAATCAGACAGAGACTGAATTATCTCTGAAAGAGTCGGCTGGTTTGACAATTCAGGCCCGGTTTGTCTACAGTGATGGTCCAGAGTGACGCTTGCATTTGGCGAGAGAGACCAGAAGTCCTCAGCTTGCCCACTGGTAGCACTCCCAGAGCAGAAACAGCTGCCCCTACATTCTTCGAACGTTCTTCGTAGAACGAAGAGCAAAGAACTTGCTAAATTTCTCCACCTTTCCATTATCCATTATAAGAATAATGAACAAAATAACGAACAAACCCAACTTAAACCTCTTAAGACAACCTGATTTTTCCTAGTTATTCAAAATAACTAAAATTCATTTCCGCATTACTGATTTCAGAAAGTTATTTAAATAAACTGGAAATGACTAGCCTACTGGAAGATTTGAAATTCAAAGATGTTCAAATTGTTTTGACAATTCAAAGAATAGGCCTATGTACTGTTACATTGGCAAACACCAGGAATCGCCCTTTGAACTAGTAGTGTGGCACGTCTTCGCCACCATAGATTTAAAAAACCACCAGCTAGCTGCGTAGAACGAATGAAAATTGTGAATGAATGAATACGTGTACATGTGAATGGGATGGATGTACTCTATATGTACAAGTCTCTGTCTTGTTTTTCTTTCTCTTCTACGTGTTGATGTACCCAATTGGAAAATTCACAGATAACACTTGGGGGGTGACTTGACCCAGGGACGACTTGACCAAGGGACGACTTGACCCAGGGACGACTTGACCCATTTCCTCAAAAAGTGACTGACAAATTACACCTAAGCCTAATTTTAAAAACAAAAAAATTCACAACTTCACTATAGTATACTAACAGCTATTAGTATTGAGCGAAATTTTATATCATTTGATTTCTTTTGAAATTCTCTTTCCAATGGTGGTACCATGCATTCCTCCATGATGGTACCACTATGTTTGTGGGGATCAAACAAAAAAACCTGAAAAGTGCCGGATCCCTACCTAGCGCTTGTACGATGAGCCACACAGAGCAGGCCGATGTCGGACAGTGGAAGCAGGCTATGACTTTGAGAGTTCTCGAAGTAGGCCTACCGATATCGGGCCGCTAGTATGACTACGACAAGAGTCACTATTTTCCTATAAATCCAAAATACAAATAGGACCTACAATGGCTTTGGCCTAGTCCTGTTTTAGGGCCGCGCCTAACTTCAAACGCAATCAACACTTGTAAGTATGAGTGATGACTATATGGCGGATCACTGATGCCCTGCCCAACTAATGACCAGTCGTGTTCTCACTGAAGATTACCAACGGTATTACACACCAACGTTCAGCGTCCACGGTAACTTTACCAGTATTAAAGTACACTCACAACATGTACACCTGCAGCTGTAATGCGGCGCGAGGCGCCATACGATCCTTGAGCACGCATTACCCGACGTTAGGTGTAGACCAAATAAAATATTAAACATTCTTACTTCAAAAATGAGAAGAAATACTCACAAGTTTCAAAGATATTCAAGACACATATGAAAAATGTCAAATCAAAGCTCACTTCCTCATCTTTCATTTTCCTTTAAAATTTGAAGATACTGCTCTCAGGAAGAAATCCCCTAAAAACAGTCGTGAGGCCCATCGCCATTTTGAAAAATTATGCCTACGCTATATAGCAAAATAGAACGAATATTAGGGCCCCGTTTTGTCCGATTCTTTCAGAAATACAAGCTGGCAGTCATGCATGCTCCTAGATTTCACCCTATTTAAAAAAAAACCAGGCTTACGTACTACGAAATGCTCTAATAGCTGGAATTATACAGCTAAAATCGTGATTCGGTCCCCGCATCGCGCAGCTCAGACTATTTTGCCTGCAAAATTTTCATATTATGACGTAGGTCTGGTTCCCCGCGCTCTAAAATGAAAGCGCATTGAATGTGCCTTGAACCTCAAAACCAAAGATAATATGCGCGGCGCCGCGTACAAGTCTTTGCTCTAAACCAGTTGGCCCACGTATCAAAAGGGGAATTCCCCGTCGTTGCATGATTACGAAATCAGTGTAGAATCGAAAGAATGAAGTCTACAGATCTTCATCATGAACATGATAAATTCAAGTCACACTTACAGTAAGCATGTTCAGTTCGTGAGTCCCATAGACGTTGAAGGTTATTTTTCTCCTGGGGGTAGGGCAGTGGGTCCCACCATGGCATGGATGGTGGAGGAAGCTACACGGTGGTTACACGCATGCATGGTATGCACGTATGTGCGTAGCCCCACTAGTAACACCATGGAGGAAGGAACACAAACACTGAGCATGGTTTTATTCCTCCATGCACTGAGTGTGGCACGGACTCTCACAGTCCTGGAGTGGGAGTGAGAGTCCGTGCCACACTAGTGGGGCTGTGCACGTACATGTACATGATTGCTACGTGCATACGTGGGAGTGGACACACATGCCCTACCCCCAACACTGCCCCCCCCACCGCAAGTTTGAAACTACCGTGAATTTTTTGGTAGTGGATCGATAGCTTCATCAGAAATATAAGCATGATAAGCCTAATCGCTAAATAGGCCTGTAGTCTAGCTGTAATGCATGAGTGATTTTGCATGATGGTAGAAGGTATCACAGGAAGGAGAAAGGAGAAAACATTTTCCTGTTTTCCTTCCCACATTGCCCTTCAAGTTCAACTACTATTGTGCAAAATTAGCCATGTGGCTTAACTTGTGCAGTGGGTTGTTTCGTAGCTTGTGTTGAACTTTCAAATTCTTACCATGACTGTGTGGCGAACAAAGTCATGTAAGTGCTGTAGTTGTGATGGCAAACTGTAGGACTTCATAATACATGAATTGCCAATTTTAACATATGGTTTGCGATAGTTTTAGAACTATTTCCAAGGATGAACTTGGAAGTTTTAGAACCTTTCTTGAGCCTTCCTTACCATTAATTGATTTCACTCAAAATAGCTCGTACCCTGAATCAGAATCCTGATTTCACCTCCAAAATGGTCCTTAAACTTAATAGCACACGGCCAGAGAATTCAGTGGCAATTTGAAATTCGGATGATGGTGGTAAGTATTCTTACATTCTGGAAAAAGAAGAGAGATTTCTCCTTCAAATTGGAAACTCTTCTGTTGCTGAGCTTGAATTCAAAGTTTCATCTTTTTATTGTGCAATTCAACTGTATGCAAATGACAGGTAGAATTTGGAGGAGTTCCAGTCAACTCAGCCCAAAATAAACTTGGTTTGGAGTCAGTGCAGTTTCAAGTCGTCTTGGTCCCAAGTCAACTCGGTCCCAGGTCATGCAGGTCAACTCTGTCCCAGGTTAACCTGAGTCCCAATTCAATCAGTCCCTATGGGGAAACTGTACACAAAGTAGGAGTTCATCCTTCATGTGGTCCCTACAGGGAACGTTAATCTAGAAATGGGCACCATGCCGCACATCAGCTTTGTCAGCCTTTTGTTTTCAACTCAAGCGGTGATTGGGGAATTGAAGATGCATGCTTCTCTGGCATTTCTCTGTTTGCCAAATGTGCATGTATCTGATGCAGATATGTCAAAAGTTTCTTGCTGTGATCGTCCTCTCGATGCAGTGTGAGATATGGCGGGTTTCCGACTCATGTCGTCTAACATACTGAGGAGAAAAAGAAATGCTTGGAACAAGAAAACGTGAAAAGCAACTTTTTTTCATATAATGCAGTTTTTTGTTTCCTCTTTGAAAACACCTCAGCTACATGTAGGACACCTTCCCAAGGTATAGAGAAGCTTTATTGTACAATAAATTATCAACAATTTATTGAGTGGGCAACCGTTAACAAAAAAATACCACATACTGTCTGGGTGATCTCTCGTTCATGTAGAGTCTTAAACTTTTATTCTGTTTTTTTTACATTTACATGTAATTGTCACGATTGAGTTTTAGGTTTTGGTGGGCAGGTCTTGTAGAACATTCTTCCTGAATGTAGGTATACTTTTTTGGCAAAAAAATTTGATAGCTAAACTTAGAATCAAACCTACTCTGGGAGCATATCTCGTGATCCTTAGACCACAGACCCTACTTTAAAGTACTGGTAATTTAACCCTAACCCCCTAGGGTATATGTAAAATCGTATTGAAATCGGAGGATTTGGGACTGTTAGGATTAATAAGGAAAAAAGGAAAAATATATTTCTACAAAACAAATAAAACCCACTAAATTAAGAATTTAAGAAGAAAATCATTAAAATATACAAAATCAAAATGGTTAACTGTATGTTCTTAAAAACAGAGATAAACAAAAAGCACATGCATTTCAGTTAAACGTGAGCAGAAAAATGGACGTCTAGTAACTAAAAATAGGTTTAAAACTTACTAAAACAATTCAGAAACAGCAGTAAAAAATTTGATTAAAATCGCATATACAATAAAAAAAAATCTTTCTAATTTGTGGTCATGGAAACTTGTTTTGAAAAAGGGAAGTGAAGTCAGCAATCATATATGACTGACAGATCACACAAACCAATGCTGATTGACCAATTACACCCATCAGTAACAGTACAAAGTCAAATTTAGCAGGGAAGATGTTGTTCAAAGTGTTTACCTTCATGTAAAAACACTTGAAGTATAGAGTAAAGTAAAGCGTTGTCACTGCATTGTAATCTTTGATTGTATGCTGTTATGGAGTTATTCTGTTTGATTTCCAGTGTGTATCTGGACTATAATGCCACAACTCCCCTGGAATCTGAAGTGCGGAGTGCCATCCATGATGCTTTGGGAGAAGCGTGGGGCAACCCAAGCAGTTCATATGCGGCAGGTACACTTATAGGCACCTTACATCCCAACACTGTCAAATGCCAACTTGGTGCTTAACTTTGTGGTTATCTTCTTTTTCATGACAGAGTCTTGTTCTTGAAAAATCCTCTTGTCTCAGGGCAAAAAGCCAAACAGATCATCGAAGAGGCGAGAGATGACATTGCATCTATGATCGGAGCTCAAAAAGAAGATATTATCTTTACATCTGGCGGTACAGAGGTACGATATAGTCACTCTTTAGTTCCACAAAGTTTAGGATAATCACAGAAGTGTGTGCTTTCAGCTTAAACGGACTACATTGTAGACATCAGTTAATGTACGTATGTATATATAGGCTTAAAAATTGGTGCACATTTGATACAGTTGATGACATGGGGCTGGAAAATTCCTCTAAACTGTCAGCATAACCCTTCTTCATCTGAGAATTATCTCAAAATATCACACTGTGCATTGAACATTGTATATGTACATGTAGGCCAACAACATGGTCATTCACACGGCTGTAAAACACTTCTGGAAGACCTTCCCCCTTGTTGACCAATCGCAACCTGTGATTGAGGACGGGCCACCCAACCACGGAAAGTTCCTTCCACATGTGATCACATCCAACTTGGAGCATGACTCTGTGAAGCTTGTGTTGGAACACCTGGTGGATGAGAGGCAAGCAGGTAATGTAGTCGTGTGATCTATTCTCAAGAAAAAAAAACATGAAACTTTGAGGAATTTTGAGAGTCAATTGTACAATACTGTTTGTTACTGTACATTTTAATTTCATTTTTCTTTGCAGTGGTGACCTTTGTACCTGCCTCGAAGCTAACAGGTCACGTTGAGGTCAGTGACATTGTTGCTGCCCTTCGGCCTGCGACCTGCTTAATATCCATCATGCATGCCAACAACGAAATCGGAGTCATTCAGGTATCATCCGGAGTTTTGTGCTACCTTTCTGAGTGAATGCGGAAATGTTTTATGCTTGTACCTTCAACTGCTGCACGAAATCTTGCCTTTGCTTTAGACCTTGACTTCATCTCTAGCCTACCAGCCTCAATCCTATGAATCATTCTCTTCATGATGGACAGAACTTTCCGTACAAAACACCGAGTCCACTGGTTCTTTTGAAAACCTCGTTCACCACGAGAAAGCTTTATATGGTGCTACTACAAATATTCAATTGCAGTATTCCTATGTCACACAAATGTTTAAAACACATTTGAAGTCCGACTGTACACATTATTACAAGTGAATCCAACAATCCGTTTAACATTCTTTTGTGTAATTTGATATTCTTTGGTGTGTTAAAGTGGACCTTTATTGATTTTAAGCCTCCCAAACAAGGAAAAAAATTCACGGACCTGATGTTTAATACAAACACACAGCCAAACAGTCCTAGACTCAATGCTCTTAACATATGAAACATATTTTCCCTTTATTTGCTTGAAGCCGATAGCAGAGATTTGCCGGCGCATTAGAGCAGTCAAACGTGACCCCAAACGGGAGGTTCCCCGGGTCTTACTCCACACTGATGCTGCTCAGACCATCGGCAAGGTTGACGTCAATGTGGAGGAGTTGGGAGTGGATTATCTGACCGTGGTAGGACACAAGGTGAGACAAATATGGAGGAGGGGAGGATCAGGTGGATGGTGTGGTAGGAGGGAAGAGGCAGGCATATTTACAGCACTCAGGATATCAGGCTGAGGGATACTCATGGAATACAAAAGGGACTCTCTGATTAGAAATCTTCACTTTGAAGATGCCAGTACAGTTTGGTTCGGCGACATTTCTCGTAGATCGTGTGTAGGTGTTTATCGGTCCAAGATGACCTTTGAAGCCTTTGGAAGTCTTTTTTTACACACTTGAAGGTTTTAGGAGTCATTGTATGGAGGAATTGAAGTTGTTAGAAAAGGCAAAATTCTTTCCAGTTTTGGCAGTAGAAGACGTGTATGTTCTGGAGACACAGGGTACTTAAAAAGGAGGAGGTTGGGCATAGAAAGAAACAGCCCATTTGATTCACAAGGATCTGGATCTCGATCGGTGACCCCATGCTTGTTTGCCCCATCCATAACATGGGTTCTGATGTCAGTGAACCAACATCAGATCACTGATTATGAACCAGATGTGCATAAATCAAAATCAGCTGAACCTGTCAACTGCAGTTGATTCTGTTGAATGTAATAGTTATTAAAAGTGGAGCTGTGTGGTGTGGGAAGGAGGTCTCGTTATCCCTATCAACCTGAAATGGATTTATCTGTTTTATGTTTACAGTTTTATGGGCCACGGATAGGGGCTGTCTTTGTCAAAGGAGGGGGTGTGACCACACCTCTCTACCCCATGCTGTATGGAGGCGGGCAGGAGAGGAACTTCAGGCCAGGGCAAGTAACAGACAGGCTATGTGGCCACACTCTATGCACAATTTTTGTTTTTCCCTAAACAACAAAAGTTCTGGGATTCCAGAGTTCAGGTGAAGTTAGATTGACCTGTTATTGGTTTTGTGAACGTTTAATTATTTATTTGTTTTTCAGGACAGAAAACACTGGCATGATTGCAGGACTTGGAAAGGTGAGTCTCTTGCCGTGCAATTTTCAGTCCTTCAAGCTCTGCGGAAGAAATTGATTCTCAGTGCAAGACAAAGCACCACGCAAGGAAAAGGAGAGTGATGTGGTTTTTTTCTCGGTAATTTTAACTGCCATGTTTAATTTCTTTCCTTTTATAAACTAAACAGTAAGCACTCGTTGGACAACTTGGTATCTGCCAGAGCACTCCCTCTGGCAAGATTTGAACCAGATACCCAGCTTAAACTCAAGCATGGAAGACAGATATAAATATTTCCCTATTAGTAATGTTGCAGAACTTCATAGATGTCTGGTTGAGTGTTTGAATTCAGAAAAGATAATTCGTGTCTTCACCAGACTGAGAATTATTTAAGTACATGTATTCTTTTAACAGGCAGCAGAACTTGTGTGTCAGAACTTGGAGAAATATGAAGTGCAGATGAGAGAAGTGCGAGATTACTTGGAAGACCAATTGCAGGTGATTCTGACACACATTCAAGTAATTGTGTAAAACCAGTGGAGTAAGTTATATCCACATATACTGGATCCACATGTACAGAGGACAAACTGAATATGTGCAAACCTGCAGTGCTTCTACTTACAGTCCATTCATCACCCAAGTGTTGACTTTCATGTCCTTGGCCCAAGTAAGCACCTTGCAGAGCTGGTCACTTGCGAAAGTATACAACTATTTAGTCAGCAAAGTAGTCCAAGGTACTGTTGCGAAGGAAAATTGTCACAGTTATAAATAATTCAGTTGAAGTCAACTCTAGTGGCAGACTCAAGTCATCTAATTTCTGTGTAAGAAAGGCAAGCAATGTGTTTTATGTCGCCTGTTGTCTGCAAGTTAAATTCATTGTGCAAACTGTCATGACCCCCTGACTCAGTCCTTCAAGTAACCTCAAACCGTTGCTTTATTGTCCATCTTTTGCTACCTTTGAAACGGAGTTTTTACCAACTGTACTAGACAAATCTATGGAATGCCACAAGTAAAAAGAAACAATTAAAAAATGGTGAAATGTTAAAGTCTGGAGCAGATCCCAGAGTGATAATTACCTCCATTAAATACTTTAACTAAATACTAAATGAACACACATGTACTTCCGATTTTTAACAGTCATCAAACAAAAAGTGGGTTTTGAGGCAATGTTTAGTTGCAAACTTGGGGACAGTGTTTTGCAAAATTTAGCAGCCCATATAAATGGTTGGCCAGTGTTTGTAAACAAAAGAAAGGTCCATTACCACATATTGTACATTCTTGTCTAAACCTGTGATGACACCATAGATGAGCACAAGGCAAGTAATTTAACTCATTGTACTTAGTGCCGAGTGCATGCATTTGCACACAGGACTTGTAGGATGGCAAGATCATACCCAGAGCTTGAGTTGCTTGCTTAAAGGTGTGATTGGTAGAAAATGACAAGTGGGATAATGGAAAACATTCAGTATGTATCACTAGCAAGTCTTCACTGGTAAACAGCTTGTCCCAACCAGTGACATGGAACCTGATTACATGTACATGGCTTTAGTGCCCTGTTTAATTTGTGCTTGCGCGGCCTTTGCTTTCGAGAATGGCCAAGTTTGATGAAGGACGGTTTGGTGACTGCTGGTCGATTTTCCCAGGTATCCTTGGTACCTGGCAAAGTTGATCTTGATCCAAGATAACCAATGTATCCAATAGGAGTACAGTTTTAGAAGCCATGGGTTTTTTTTTACTAATCCCTCCATGCTCTACACAAAAATGAATACATCAAGAAACAAGCTGCATTCTACTTGATTTGAGATTTGTTCAAATTTGTCATACTTCAGTCCTTTTTTACACTGCAGAATGTATTTGGAGATGGTGTTCACTTCAACAGTAGGTTCCCATCTGGGAGTGCAAGAATTCCAAACACGTGCAATGTTTCATTCCTTGGACCGGGGCTTGAGGGTAAGTCTGGTCATACCAGTGGCATAGCTGCTGCATTACAATGGAGAATATACGCAGATTTCAAAGGGGGGGCACGGGCATCCGCAGGGAGGGGCACATCCCCACCTAAAGTTACACCACAGAGTCATATACATGTAGTATACATGTACGTTGGTTTTCAATATTCTTTGTCTATTTGCACTCCTTGCAGTGCACCACGATGACTCTTGGGAATTATGTACTGTACCTATGGACGAGTTCATTTTGTACATGCAATGATGTGGGCAGTTTGTGTGGAACGAATTCTCAATTCATCCTGCCCATTATTTTGCACACTTGTCTGCTGAGCAATATCCCTTCATCTGCAGGTTACAAACTGCTGCAGAGGGTGACCGTTCTTCAGGCTAGTGTGGGAGCAGCCTGCCATTCAGAATGCCACAGCAAGTGAGTTACTCTTGTTCTTGTCTGCACCTCAGCGAAACAAAACACGTGCGGTTTATAGCAGTTAACTTGTCCTTGTTTCATCCGTCACATGTACACGTATTCACAATGGAGCCATCCAGTTGGAAACGGAAATTTTTCTGTCACAGACCTTGTTGTTATTCATGATTCCAAAAATATTTTTCAAAATGAAAATAGTATTAAGTTGACGGTGTTACTACATGTATTTATCAGCAATTTGTGTTTCAGAAAAACATGTTTTCATTTGCGAATCGAAAATGATAAGCAATTGTCTGTGTAGAGAATTACCAAAATATAGACAAGCAGTTTTATAAAGGACTTGGGTTTTGTATTCTATTAAAATCTATAAAGGCTGCTTTGAGTAACCACTTTTGGAAGTTTGAGGGAATTTTCAGGAAAAAGAACTCTAAGAAAAAATGTCATTCACTCAATCAGAAGAGCTAAACCCAAGCATGTTTATTTTATGTTTGTTGCACATAGTTAGCCCACATACCACAGATTTTGTCCAAGAGTGTGTCATCACTGTTTTGACTACTTGACCGTGATCTGAAAAAAACCACACACGGCAGCTTCATACATGTTCTATACTTTCATACGCCCACAGCAACCAAGCACTCATTCACTGCCACAGCGCTGTGCATACCTTTCTGTTACAGGCAGAAGTGTTTTCATCAATGAGACATCTGGAAATGTGCAAGTGATTGTGTAATTATCTGACTGAGAATGCTTCTTTTGCAAAGGTAGCTTTTGTTATGATTTCATATTCTGGAGATAAGTTTCCTATTTTGGAGATTTCAATTTGGTTTTGTCAGGCCATCCCACATATTGCTTGCTGTTGGGATCCCCTCGGAGGTAGCAGCCAATGCATTACGACTCAGCGTTGGACGACAGACAACCAAAGAAGATATTGACAGAGTGGTTGACGATCTCAAACAAGCTGTTGCAACATTGAAAGCTGAAATGAATTGATCAGGTTTAGCAATTACCATGTCAGTAAAATATGAGGTTACGTTTATAGAAGGGTATTGTATGTATTGGTTTTCAGTACTATTCGGTGCCTGGTGTATGTTGTTATTTTGAGAGGTAATCTTTCCCCCCTTCCTGAGGTACCTTGGTTTAAATTTAACGCTGGTCATTTGTTAAAGGCTTAGACTAGATCAGGGATACTGATACTTTCTGTCTACTGAGACAAGGTTGGAGCAGAGTACCAGCTCATATCTCCTGAATAATGTGTCAGCGTAGGGGGACATCATTTAGGAGTATTTTGCTGCCCAAAATAAATAGCGAGTAGTGTAAAAAGTGGATTAACTGAAAAAGAATCCCAAAAGGGGTTCTGCCAGTGTACAGATTTTGGTGTGCAGGAAAAATGAATAGGGCGATCTACTCAAACTAATAACCCAAACTGAACCAAATGGCAAATTTGCCTTGCAGCAAGAGGCTTTTGACAATTTTATTTTAATCCTCCTATGCTGAAGTCACTCTTTGGGTCACTTGGTAAACACCTCAATGAAGCACAGCTGTGTCGGGTTGTGCACTGCACCAGCAGTCCCTCACAGGAATATCACAT